CATGGTGGTGGAATTTGAGTTTGCCTTCATGCTATCATGGATCATTAATTTTGTTGGTAAGACTTGGAGTGGGACTGGACTTACAATATCCTCGTTGATTTGAACACCAGCAGGTATGCAAGCATTTGGAATCCCATCATCAAAGCCATCATTGGTGCCACCTGTTGGGACGGGGTCTTGTGGGTTGACCAGTGGTATTTGCAGAGACACATGAAGAGAGGTGCTGCATTTTGGAAGAGTTGTTGTTTGGTGAAGTCTTTTGGCATTTGGACGTGTTGGAGGATTGTAGCAAATGCGTTGTCTGCTGGTACCTATTCTGTCGTTAGATACAATATAAAGGAGAGACAGACTAGGATGTGGCCTTGCCAGAATCATGTTACAGATCCCCAGCATACACATTAGAACTTCAAAGCTGTGGTTGACTGAATGATAATGCTGTTTGTTTGATGTTATTAGAATCCAAAGCTCTTGCCATATATGGGTGATTATCTTGCCGAAGGAAGGTGTATGGCCATTGTCTGTTGAAAAACTCAGCTCTCCACAGCAATGTAACAGCGGCTGTGAAAGCAGTTACTTTCTTTAACTGTGAGCTATATCCCCAACCTATATAATGTTCTATAAAGCCATTGTGAAGGGGAAGAGACCCCTGCAGGCCGCATCTCATGCTATCACGTCTACTGCGAACAGCTCTTCTGCCCTTTTTTGCGAGTCTTTGTGAAGCATAGAACCAATTTATCAGGAACTGTGCGCTCATTCAAATGGGGTGCTTTGAGAAGATCATTTTCAACTAGGGCCAATATTCCTCCAGAGACTACACCGCCATTGCCAAGCACCCATGGCATCCCACTCTACAGTATGCCTTTTTGTGGATAAAAAAACCATGCCCCATCTGACCTCGCCAATTTAGGATGGCTTATACTGGCATGGATGGAAACACCAATGAAGTGGCACCCGCTTCCCTTGGCTGTCGGGGCCCTTCTCCTCATTGTTATCCAATACTGCAAGAAAGTAGCCTGTGTAGAGATGGAGGTCCACATTGATGATGAAGGTTATGAAGTTATCAAGCTCAAAGGTCCATGGCATGTGCATATCACTGATTAGTTGTGGAACTCCATTTGCTTACCTACTCTCGTGCAGGTCCACATATTAGGCACTCTTCCTCTCCAGAATATGTCATGTGTATGGGGCTACTTGAACTTGCTCGAGCTGCCAGTTTGGGTATGGCCTTACGGCTTCCGACTCCATGCACATGTTTTTGGCTGCAACCTTGAGGAAATTGACCCTGATGATCTAATGCAATATGCCAGCCTGGGCGTGTTTTTCTACCAAAAGCTCAAACCAGGCTCACCTCTCTCTACTTCAGGCGGTGAGGATTCACACATTAGCTATTCTCTGGTTATGGTATATTTACTATTGTTACTTCTACCTTAACCCTATAGGGCTAAAATCTCGTTTCTGCAGTGATTGACTTGTTCCACTCGCAAAACATCATTGTCTTCGGTACTGCGGACATTGTATGGGCATAATTTTGGTTTAGAGTTCCTACTCTCCATTTTATTCAGGTGATTATCCCTTGGTTTAGTGTCTCCGCTTCTGATTTGGTTTAGAGTCCCTGCCTTTCCATTTCATTCAAGACATCGGGGTTTTCTTGCTCCGTCATTACTCAAGTTGACCGCAAGATTTCACGTAATCGCTGTCAGTTCACTTGATTAGGCAATCCTGTCACCTGTTCAGTCGATGCGTATATGACATATGTACCGTCCATGCAGGTTTGAAGAATGTACGGAGCCAATATTCCTACATGACGGTTATGTGGGGACTATTGGTACCAGGCCAAGGATCCCCAAGAAGTTAGCTGTTTCAAGGTCCATGCTTCATTTCTGTTATGTTTCCTTAGCTAAATTGACCGTCATGCCTACTTCCAAGTCCCCACTTGACATTCTCATCCATGAGCAATGGTGGCCTCATCCCCATCTCCATCTGAACTGGACAATAATGAAATTCACCTGCTAGTCGCTCTTAAAAGATGAATTGCTGCACTTGAGGAAGAAAATGCAGACATCTGAGTCCGTGGGCTCCCTGGGAAGAAAAGATACGTCTAGTGTTTAAAAATGCAGTATAACAGGTTGATAAATATTCAAAGTGATGAGTCAAATGCAAACTATGGCCGACCAATTCAAAGGCTTGTATGCCTGACCGAGCGTGTTGAAGATCTGGTAGCAGAATTCAATAGGCACATTGGACTGGGTGCTGTCCATGAATCCAACGCAGACATGATGGATTCAGATGACCCAGAGTAAGTACATCTTTACAAATTTTACTGGTTAACCCTCAGGTCATGTTCCAGTGAAAATAGGCTGTATCGCTCCTTCAAGAAACTTATGGTATGGTGTCCCTCAGCTTGTAAATTGCTATGGTCATCAGCCGAGCACAAAGTTCTTGCTTTTGCATACAACAAGGTGAGACTCCCAAAAACAGTTCACTGACAAAACATCGCTGTATCTTGCATCCAGCTGAATGAAAGCTCTGATGGGGCCAGAGGAGATGACTCTGCTCGTCTTAAGCACGCTGTCGCCGAATGGCTAATGGAACATACTCCCACACCAAATCCTGTCATTCACAGGCAGGACAAATCTGGTTGGGGTTTTTATAACGACATGATGGGCAGACTCCTGTGCCCAGTCGATTACTACTGGAGCAATCCCATATAAGGGCTCTTTTATGAGCTGCACCATAACTAACTTATATCTTCAAAGTGTTCGAGCCTCCATTCGAGACTACCACCCTGATTTTTGTATTACCACTTGTTCATGGCCCTCATTCCTTTACAGGAACGGACACTATGACCCCCAGAATCCTGCCAATGGTTTGTTTAAAGGTGAACTACTTATAAAGGTAAAATTAATCTGTGTGGTAGAAGCATACTGAATGCAGTCTCCAGGCATTCAAACATATTTTCACCTCTCCGAGTTCCACAGATGAGGAACCTGTTGACTCAGTGACTCATTCTGCACAGAGCAAGAATAGTGGCGAGCATCGCACTCAGTGCGACGTTTCAACACTACTCAATATGAGATCTATCCAGCCTCGAGCTGTAGCCTATGTGTCCATTCAGGTACAGGCCATTTAACTTGAAATATCTGCGCGCTTTGCTGATTAGATGGTTTAGCTAAGATTTGTGCTGTCAAGTGCAGGATCTTGGTGCATTGTTGATGACGAATTCAACAACCAAGAATTCTATGACAACATCATTGACTACCTTGAGCTTCCTCCAACGCCTGAAGCAGCGAAAGAAGTTGATGACCTCTTGCTTTGGTGGAATCAGTGAGTAGCTTTGGCAGTTTTACACTGTCTCCCATTGATCCATCAGGTTTCATTTTTTGGAAAGTTTTTGGTCAGAAATATGTTTCTGATTATCGCCCGCAGCAAGCAAACAAAATGTCAGTCGCCATGACTTTGGCCAGATGCCAGATCTAGCTTAGTTGGGTTAGAATAAGGGAACCTACTTAGGCTAGTACTTGACTGCAAGCCGCATGTAACTTTACGTTGTGCAATTTTCATATGTACAGTGGCTCAAAAAACTGTCCGCATGTTTTCACATTTTTCACTATCTATGATATTGTGTGAGAATGTACAAACACATCAAGGACATGCTGGTACCATATTGTAGTACTACTTCAGGGCTTCCAATTGAGCCCTATGGCGTGGGAATTGGTCGAGATATGGTGGAGATATGAGGCTTACAAAATGATGACTCATGTGGACAGTTTTTTGACTCAAGTATTTTACAGTGATAATCAGGTATTCTAGTACATTGTGTGACCTCCCTTGGCTTTAATTACTGCCTCTGTCCTTCTAGGCATACTCTCAATCAATTTCTGGCAATATTCTGCTGTAATCCTTGCCCATTCCACTGCTACTCTCTCCCATAGCTCCTATACTCCTTTAGGGGGGGTTTCATAGGCTTGAAGCATCTTCTTGAGTATTCCCCAGAGATGTTCAATGACATTGACATCAGGGGACTGTGCTGGTCAGTCAAGAACATTGATATTATGTTCTTTAAACCATTGTCTGGCTCTCCTAGATGTGTGCTTGGGATCATTATCCTGTTGGAAAATGATGTCTTCTTCATCAATCCCTGAGTCAGCTATGCTAGGCAGCAAGTGGTCATTTAGAATGTCCACATACTGCTCAGCATCCATCCTCCCCTCAACTTCAGCGGGCATACCCACACCATTCCATCTCATACAGCCCCATACCATTAGAGAACCTCCTCCAAATCTGACAGCCTCACTAACCTCTCTGTCTGTTAGAAAATCCCTCTTCTTTTTCCATACATATACCTTCCCATCTGACCCAATCCTATTGATTTTGGTCTCATCTGAACATATAACATGCTTCCAGTCCTCTACAGTCCAGTTTTGATGGGCCAAGCCAAAGGTAGTCTTTTCAGCCTATGTTTAATAGAGATAAGAGGCATTTCTTCTTTGTTACTGCCTTGAGATGAGCTGCCTTGAGAACATTCCTCACAGTTTGTGAAGAGACAGTGGTGGTGATGGTGGAATTGGTATAATGGGTGGCTTGGAGGGCATTATTAGCCTTTCCTGTAGTGATATGTTGGATGATAGCCCCCTTATTAGCAGAGGTGGACGTCCTTCACAAGAGTTTTCCTTGTCCAGGTGGCTTTCTTTGATACACTTGGCTGCAGTAGACTTGCATACTTCAGTTCTAGAGGAAATTTGATGAGCAGAGAGGCCAGCATAGGACAAAGAGAAGATATTATCCCTTTGAGTAGAGGAGACGGCTTTTATGGTAATTATGACCATGACACATGAGACATTCTGGTTTATATAGTTAGATATAGTTTTAATAGTATGCCTAGAAGGATAGAGGCAGTAATTAAAGCCAAGGTAGGTCACACAATGTACTAGAATACCTGATTATCACTGTAAAATACTTGAGTCAAAAAACTGTCCGCATGAGTCATCATTTTGTAAGCCTCATATCTCCACCATATCTCGACCAATTCCCACGCCATAGGGCTCAATTGGAAGCCCTGAAGTAGTACTACAATATGGTACCAGCATGTCCTTGATGTGTTTGTATATTCTCACACAATATCATAGATAGTGAAAAATGTGAAAACATGTGGACAGTTTTTTGAGCCACTGTATCAAGAGCCGTTGGCTGTGCGACAGATGGGTTGGGGCCAATGTCCTGCCGGGCTTTGGGGACATTTGGGCGGGTCGGAGGATCGTCGGGAGGAGCGAAGTCGACATTGACGTCATTGTCGACAGTGGGGGTTGGTACCGGACCGGGCTGGGCCGGGAGCATGATGGCTGGGACTGAAGGAAATTAATTAAGATTTATTGTGATGAGGGAATTGACTTACCGTGTTCTGGATCATCATCACCCTCCGCATCAGCATCATCTTCGGCAGTGAGTGCCTGGTGAATTTGGGAGGTGGCACATGTGCTGACTGGTGCCCTCGACCGAGTTCTGTATTTTACCTGGGTAGGTGGGGCGTTATTCTTTGGGGTGCCATTCTGGGCCTTCTTCTCTGCGGCAGCAGGAGCCTTAACCCCTTTGAGGGCGACGGCAGCCCACAGAAGGCGCTGCTGCTCTGCGAACAGACGGACGCACTTGGTCTTCTTGCCATCGCAGTTGCGACAGCACTTCCGGACCTCACCGTTCTTCTTGCCCAGCATCACGGTGCAAGGGACGTCGTCCTTGATACACCGCTCGCATTGGGTCAGGAAGAGGCGCATGGGGTGTGTGTCCTCAGCAGACTATGCAAAGTTAGGAAGATATTTTAGAATAAAACAAAAAACACTCACATCTTCATTGCTGACCGAGGGCGGCGGTGTCGCGGTCTTCCAGACTGCCGGCTCCATCTTGAGCTTCTTCGGCAATGGTGCACGTACCACCATGATGACATCTCCTTCCGGTGCCGAAGGTTCAGGATCGGGAGTCGAGGCCTTGCGCTTTGTACCCGGCACAAAGAGATTGTGTTTGGGGGCGGGGGCGGGTGGTGGTGATGGTGTGGGTGTGGGAGAAGTGATGGGGGAGAGGGTCATCGACGCCTCTCGGGTTGATGTGGTAGCCGGTGGGACGGGTGAAGCCAGGCGAGCCTCCTGTGTCGATGGACCAGCCGGGCGGGTGTAGCCGACGGTCTTGTGAAAAAGGGGGTGAACCCGGATGTGAGGGTCGTCATCCGAGATCTGCGTCCAGTCGGGCAGACCCCTCAGCTTACCGTTCAGACTACTGTTGTCCTGGATCTCGACTGCGCAAGACAAAAGCCTTGGAGCAAAGGAAGTCACAGCATTCCCATATTGGGCGAATGCACCAACCTGAAAAGAAGATCAACCGGGTCATCAAAAGTCAAAAATGAAAAAAAAAAAGAGAAGACTTACCAAAGTTATGGCAATCTCATGTGCCAATGACTTGGCAGCTGCATCACCTTGCTTCAACTTTTCCGACTGGGTGATCAGCCGGGCAATCTTGTCAGAGACAAGGTCGAGAGCATCGTTGGCATCTTGAGCGGAAGACATTGTGAAAAATAAGCAGCAGGAGTAAAGTGCGGGTTCAGATTGTGAATGAAAAATTTGGAGGAAAATGTTGGAGCACAAGTTCAGATGAGGTATATATAGGAACAACCTTTGCGGCCACAGCATGCCCGTGGGAATTGCCGGAACTGCATGCCCATTGTTCTATCACCGCCAATATATTGAATAATGCTACCATTGCCGCAGCCCTTATCAAGTGCCATTGTTGACTTGGCCAACGTGTCAACAACCGGACCACCGCACCCACAAGACCCACTAGTGGACCTTTCTGCCGTCCCTATTTAATTCGTCCTTCCCAAACCCGACCACACATCTGCCAGACCACACAATGTCAACCTGACGAGTGCATTTTTAGAGTCCTCTAGAAACTACTCAGCAACACGTGGCCTCGGCTGGTAAGTCATCTGCTGAAGTTCAATGCAAGGCATCCCTTGCAGAATGGTGGGGTGATTTTGTGCCCATAGACCAGTGGGAGCTGCCGAGGGTGCGGTTGCGATTCCAGCACCTGCAATTTAGAAGTACGTCCATTCATTTATCTTCTGATGTTCTTCGGGGGCAATGAGCTGACCAGATCTAGGATATGACATGAGTCCAGAGACTTGGATCGAGACTCTCAACAGCCGCATCGGAGATTCGACTCCCGATGAATATGAGCACTCTTTCGCCGGGGTGGAGGAGTCGATTCAGGAACTGGCTGGTAAGTCGTTATTGATGCTTCTACTGAACTCACCTAACATCACACAACTCAACAGCCATGTTCGACAAGTCCCAGGGCATGTCCGAACCATCAACACCCGAAAGATCTGCAGACTTGGACAAAGAGGTCAATGGGCTGGTAGACGACAGTCCATCATACAATCTCGGGTGGAATGTCCCATCTGCTGCATTGTCCAGCAACCCATCTCCCTCGGTAGATGATAACACCGGAGGTAAGTGTTTTTGGTTAGTTCTTACTGTACACATATAATTGACAATGTACAATGATGAAGATGACGGTGACGAAGAAGGCCTGGGGTATGATCTCGGGTGGGGCCTGAATGTGACTTTGGGTCAACCACCCGAAGTTGTGATGGACGAAGACGATGCGCCGGTGTATGATCTCGGGTGGGGATCCACGCATTCGGGTGAACAGCCCATTCAGCAAGATGCGATTGATGGTGCCGGCGATGGACACAGGTATGACCTCGGATGGGGACCAGCACCTGCGGGTGAACACTGGATGGAAGAAGAAGACGACGATGACGACAACGACAACGACGAACCCTCGTACGATCTCGGGTGGGGGTCAACACCCGCAAGTGAACACCCAATGCAACAAGAGGTCGTTGATCTCACGGGTGAAGATGAACCGTCCTACGATCTCGGGTGGGGAGAACACCAAGGTATGTCTATGTCTTTCTTGTGGATCCCAATGCTCACCGGTGTTAGCAGTACGGTCAACAGCTCTGAGTCCACTCAGCCCCATACCGGCCTCATTGGGCCCAATGGACTTGGACGCTGACAACGGGGAGGGCCACAGTTATGATGAAGCCGAGGATGCTATTCTCTGGGAGAACCGCCGGCTGAACGCCATCGGCAGCGACATGAGTACACCCTCTCACCTCCTGATTGGTCACCGCTGATGATCACACAGCTGACTGACATGTATACACCATCATCGAGAATGCAGTCCATGACCGCGATCTCTCTCGGGGACCGGCACAAATCCTCATGGACAATCGGCGCATCCTTGGGGGGTTCGCAGAGGCCCGGGATCGGGTGACCGCAGTTGGTACGGACATGTGCAGGCTCCACCACATGATCCAACTTCAACGCCAACTGTTGAAATCGGTGGACCAAGTCATCAAATCTCTCATGAAGTCGGAGCAGTAGATAGGTTTCGGTTCGGTAGAATATATGTACATTTTGTTAGGGTCTGGAAGGAAGACTGACCATTGCAATAATACCCAGTGGTAATGCATTCATGTCCGGGAGAACAAAATATTAAGAGGGGTGACATTGTAATTGCTACTATACCCGCAATATACAGTACAAACAATATGCAAATGAGTCCAACAGCCTCAAGGGCGTCATCCGACTTTGGAAGTATCAAGACCACATGAAGTTGGTGGCATATCTGGAGTTGGGTTTCTTGGATCTTTTTGGGAGAACATCTGTGGTCTTGCTGCATGTGCGTTTGGCAGGTGATCCTTCCAACTCATCTTCGGCAGCACGTTTCTTCCCATGTGGTCCGCCCAGCTTGTGTTTCTTGGTAGAGCATTGCAAGATGACTGCCGGACCGTCTTTCTGTACACGACTAGGTTTGTGCTGCAATGCACCGCCAGGCTGAAATGCAGGCCCTACCCTCCTGGGTCGGTCCAAAGGAGTCGGCACTCCTCGGGAGGCAGATAGCTCATCTGTTGTGGGAGATGGTTTCTGTGGAGCTGTGGGGGCAACAAGCCTGTTGTTGGGAGCAGTGCCCTGCTTGCGAGCATGGGTCTTCATAACTGGGCGACTCTCTACCTCCAGAGCTTCATCCTCGCCGCGTGTCTCCGCAACCTCCTTCCTAGGTCTCTTTGCCTTCTGTTTCACAGGTTCTTTGCCCTTCCTGGTAGCTGGCCTTTCTTCATCCGAGGACTCATCTGGCGAATCTGGTTGATGAAACTTGTCCCCCGAGTCTGCAGGTTCAACCCGAGTTTTTGGCCAATGGGTTGTCTTTGCTGCCTGCTGCCTGGCTGGTTTGGCTGTCTTTGTCGGCCGGCCGTCCTCATCGTCATCAGAGCTGTCAGAAGGAACGATCGCCCAGAAAACAGACTTTCGCCTCGCCGATACCCTTGTCTTTGCTTTTCCTCCCGGATTCTCTTCGGCCTGTCCATCCACTGGTGTATCTGCCTCTGCCTCGGCGACAGGGGGTTTTACCTCCTTGTCGGCCTTGCTCCACCAGCCGTAGAACTCAAATGTGACGTCCCGGATGTTCTCCTGTCGGTTGTACCAGAAGTCCAACAGTTCTATTGCTTCCTCCCGGTTCATTCTTGATGGCTCCCGAAGTTTTCATCCCTCTGGAAGGTACATCAGAGGGATGAGCTCTTCTTGCCTAGGTATCACCTCTTTCCAAGGCACTGGGTCCTTTGGCCTGCCGCTGCAGTCCTCTGCTCGCCCACGTCAGATAATCCGAAGAGTCAAACGGATTGCCTCATGATAATGCCAATTTAGGAATGCTCAGACGACAGCCTTCCGCGTGTCTGAATCCATCTTGCCGTGGTCCGGGAGGATGGGCAATCCATCACATCCTATTTTGAGGACGTATGTGTTGTCCTTCCTTCCCTTCCTTACCATGGTGTCATCCTCCACTTCCTTGTCTGGCAGATCCCATACTGATCAGTTGTGTTTACTCCCGAACGATGCTTCGGATGCTCACCGAACTGTTTTGACACATATGACTCCCACTCCGGCAATATCACCTGCCAGTCGCCCGTCTTGCTGAAACTTTCCCCATTGCCGAACTCGTCGTTGTAGTCATGACTGTCGGTTGTTGAGACATCCGGTTCTTCAGTCATACAGGTGTATTCATGCACCTTGACACCAGGAGTTTTCCGTCCTCATTCTTCCAAGCCGACAGCATGAACAGCCGCATCCTGGCCTTCTTGAACATTTCGCTGGCCACATACTGGAGAATGTCGTCGCTCTTTTGTTTCGCCGTGTCAGCCTGAACCTTGGGTGGAACTCCTTGCTTGTTCCACTCCTCAGCCATCTCAGTTGCTTCCTCCACCTCCTTCTCGGTAAGAGAATTCACCATTTCTGCCAGATACTTGGCATAATGATTCATCATCTCGGGTTCGCCGGGCTTCACACCGGTCTCGTCCTTGATCTTCTTCAGCAGCTCCTTCTTCCTGAGAGACCCCACGACCGCCTGGTATGTCCACTTCCTCCCAAGATTGATGGGAGGTTTGGCATCCTTCTTCTTCCCTACATGGTTCTGCAACCATTTTCTGTAGACCTGTGCAGTGACCGCATCAGCAAATGCCTGGGATATATGGCAAGACCCACTCACCGTCTTTCAGGACTTCAACAGCTTGGCATCCATGCCAGGGGCCTTCAGCCGAGCCTCCGTCATGGCATCCCCCCAGACCACATTTCTTTCTTGACCCAACATCGAGTCCCATTGCTCAAGGTAGGACTCCAGAACAGCCACCTCCCCTTCATTCAAAGGCAGCTGCTTCGGAGCCTCTTCATCTGCCTCCGAGTTGTTCCCTGCCATGGGAAAAGATGTAGGAATATGAGGATGACAGAAGGGAAATATAAGTGTCTGGCGAGAGGTTTAATTTGAGCCAGCTTGTTTGTTTAGCCTTTGGACAATCGGTATCCATGCCACTGTAAATTAAGGGTGACTGGGGCTTGACAAACAAGACCAAGATTGTGATTGTCCGGGCCAATCCCATTATAAATTGTTGTGCATTTGTGCTAGCATCACTTCAGATTGATTTGAAAGATTGAAAGCATATCCGGGGCATCTTAGCAGGGCCGACCATCCTATGATTTGGGCCGGGCCAAGAACTTTGAAATACAATGAGAACATAGAAGCATGTGGACTTTCCTGATCTTTCTAATGATAGAGCATATTAATTCATTGACGCCGTCTATCAACTTCGCAATCACAATATAAAAGCATGTCTACTTCCTTGACCATCCTAATGCCTGAGGCGTAAATCATTATTCAAACGGGTATGGCTCAAGGAATTAAATTGCTGATGAATCATTGCTGTTCAAAGATGCATCAACATAATAACAAATGAGGTGATTTAGCGAGGGTCCTGTTAAGGGAGCATGATGCAATAACGGATCAACTCCCGACCACCATCAGTTCAGACCTCGCCATGGGCAAGTCAAAGGCGCAGGAGTGCACCACTCGAGGGACCGTCCACCTGGTGAAATGGAGACCGAAGAAAACAACTCGAGGCTTCAAAGCTCGGTGGGTGCCAGACAAACGCACCAACACAAGCAAGTCAGCTCGGTTGTCCCCGACCAAGTCTCCCGCCAAGCAGCCTTCGGATGGGTTGATGTATAGGTTCTCCGACGACTTTTATGGAGGCTATGACGACCAGGGAGACATCAATCCCATGCGAATTCCACAGGGCCCATGGAAGAACAAGAGAAAGAAAAAGACCATGGCAAGTCAAAGTCCATTCACCCTCACCGATGTCTGGCTTGCCTGACACGACATACCTAGGGTCCAAACGAGTATCTCCAGCAGTGGAAGGTGATGGCAGAGGATTACCTAGATATGCTGATTGAATGGGAGGGCCCACCTCCTGACAGGGTGTGCTGTTTGTGCGATGGGGATGGAGTGCAGAAGTGCCACAACTGTCTTGCCGAGCCGATGTTCTGCACCAAGTGCTGCCAGACGCAACACGCTCAGCTGCCTTTTCACTGGATCAGTCAATGGAACGGAGATTTCTTTGAGAGGACCGCACTGACGAAGTTAGGCATGGAGATTCATCTCGGGCATGGAGGACGATCTTGCCCACACCACTATTGGGACTGGGAGGACACAGATGATGGGGGACAATCTGCTGCATCCTCCACGGCAGGAACTCCAGGTGCATGTGATGCCGGTGATGCTTTCGGTGAAGGCCCATCTGCATCAGCCTACTATGTATTTTCCCAAGACGTTGACGACACAGGAGCAGGTGATGTATTCTTAGAGGAGGAGTATCCCCCCTATGCAAAAGACTCGCCGGTGGTAGGAAAAACATGGATCACGGTGGTCGATACATCGGGCGTTCACACCATGTGGGTTTGGTTCTGCCAATGCGCTGATGCCCGAACCCCAGACAAGCAGCTGTTTGAAATTGGACTGTTCCCGGCGTCATTCACCCGCCCAAAGACTGCGTTCACCTTTGCTTTGCTGGACGATTTCATCCTGGACAACCTGGAGTGTGGGACTTTGGCAATGAACTATTACAGTAAATTGAGGCGCATCACATCCAGCATGTTCCCGCATTTAGTACCAGTATGTATGCATCTGTTCCTCCGGACCTGATGCTAAAGCTCGGTAGGACCGATACCGGGAGTTGATGAGAGTGAGCAGACAATGGTGGCAGCTGAAGCTTCTGAAATGGAATGGATTCAGTCACGACAGGAAGGACCCAAAAGATGGGGAGCTGGCTCTTTTCTGCCCTGCATGTCCTCAGCCCGGAATCAACGTGACCTTACCAACAGAAGATGATGACACAATGCCTGAGTGGCTGTATTCATGTTCATTGGTGATGAATGGTAACTTTAAAGCCGAGCATCTGCACCCGACACACCCGGAAGACGAAGTTTGGCTCACCGACGGGCAAAGCTTCATGGTAGCCAGAGCCAGGTACCAGGCTCATCTCGGGCTCGCCAAGGATTCGGCGCAGAGGTCTGAATGCAACAACCATAGGGCGGTGAACCAGGCCAATGCATCTCGGCACAAGCTAGAAGCCACGGGAATAGGAGGGTGTGCATGCGCCAGACACGGGTGCTTCATGCCTAATTCGATGGTCGATTTTCAAAAGGGCGAAAGGTAGGAGGTTCCTGACATGGAAGTTGGCGTCGGAGGTTGACATTCAGGAGCAGACAGATGAACATGCTTTGCCAGGCATTGACGTTCTATGATGTCAATTGCCAGTACAACAAGCACCTCCAGCAGCGGGTGGACGAGAGCCTTCATCTCAGCCTTCCTTCGGGAATGGACATTATCCCGGGGATAGGACTGTGGCACGTTCATGGCCACCAAGACAAGTGCTATGTTCGGTACGCATCCAATTTCATCCCAGGGGCCGCCAGAATAGATGGGGAGATCATGGAAACACTGTGGGCGCCTCTGAACATCATATCTCCTTCCACCCGGGGAATGTCGACCCCGCACCGACAGGAATGCCTCGATTATCAAATGAATGACTGCAACTACATGAAGATGATTTGGATGGGTTAGTCATGCCGTACCTAATGCCTGAAACAAATCTCATACCAACAGGGCTGTTCTTGTCCCGGAAATACAAAGAGGCCAAACGAGGGGTTGCCGAAAGCACCAAGGCATTCAATGCATTGAACGATGCAGCAGATCCAGAAATGGTCAAGCGGTGGGAAGCGCAGGAGAGAGCGGCACAAGCCTCTCAGATAGACGATCCATCAGCCCTGGACATCTATGATGTGCAGTTGCAAAAGGGCAAGTCTCGTGTGTTCATAGATATCTTGGTCGCGGCACTGATGCTTGACCTTGGCAGCACGAACCCGGAAGGAGGTCGAGGTCGACTTACTGCAGACGTCCATCCATTGCCTGGGAGAAAGACCACAGCTAGGAGCTGCCACTTGGCTTGCATCTGGGATCACCATCGAGGAAATGCAGATCACTCTAGCAATGGACATCAGGAGGATGGGAAGACACCCTACCAAGAATCAGGTGCTGGAGATGGGCCGTCGCTGGATCAGGCTGCAACACTCCATTGACGAGTTTGTTGCAACAGCAGGGAGGTATCTTGGAGATGACTATGATTCTGACCATTGTATCCCCAACATGGATGTCAAGTTCCTGCGAAATGGCAGTGGATCCAGCGATGAAGATGCTGATGATGATGGAGCACCGGGAGTCCGTCACCCGACAGCTCTATTCAGACCCAAAATAGTGGTCATCCCTCTCCCGTCCAACTTGGGAATGGAGAGATGCAGGGAATTGGGCGTAGCGGGCCTGATCAGACAAGAGATCACCCTAAGGGAGGGACAGGCAAACGACATGCTGCACGCCATCAGAGTGCACCTGGCCGACAAGGTGGTTCTCTTTAGGACCACAGTCCGGCCGGCCAAGTCGCAAGCCAGGACCACCCAGGCTTGGGCCCAGGTCCACTTGGTGGAATGGGTGATCGACCTCAACAGCATGATCTACAAGAAATGCAGGGCCCAGCTCCAGAATCTCGGGGCAGACCAGCTGTTGCAAAAATATCGGGAGTTGGAAAAAAGCCACCTCAAAGCCACCTCTGCCGTTGCGGATCCCAATACCCGCGGTCAGAGAAATTCCACACTGCCATGGTTTTGGTCCCTAGATGTACAAGGGGATTCGGTTAGCGATGACTGGATGAATGAATGTGAGTCATTCTTCCTGGGACTTCATCGTTGGGCCCATGTCGACCCGGAACCCAGTTTACAGGGTGCATTGGCTTCGGACCAAGGCTCTGCGCGATCATTGGGCAGAAGAGTTCATCCTCGTGGGACATGAGATGCGTTGGACAATCAATTTCCTCATGCACAGATCCGCAACGTGGCTCGGTCGAACACACCAGAATGGTGACCCCACTCAGGTGGGCAACAGGTGCTATGCGCTCAGACAGGCTCAGATGTACAAACGATTGGCCGAGGATGCTCACGCCTGGTTTGTTGAGGTCAACCTGACATTCGGTCACGACTGGTGATGTCATCATTGGGTGTTCCCAGCAATACATTTATCCTACGATCTTCTTTTGTATGTAGTCCATGGTCTTTGCAAACAATGCGGTTTCATAATGTTTCATTCCGGCCCGGTTGTGTATCATGTGGACCCGTCACCGCATATGGCCCTAACAATGGCCCTCCCTGCCTATTTATACTGGTGGTTAAATGGCTGTATTTTCATTCCCCCTTGCACCTCCACTGCCCTGATCAACATGCAATATCCATCGCTGATCTTCCAGCTGAATTCGGTCCCGACCAACGTCTCCCTTTGGGATGCCGCAAACATATTCAAATATGCGACTTCGCGGTTTACTGCGATCCGGTTGGCCCTGGACCAGAGCCAAGTGTCTCAAACGTCTTCCTTCCGAAGAACCTTCGTCCAGCATCTGGTCTGGGAAGCCGAGGCATACTTCGCAGAGATTTGTATTCCCCTATATCAACATATGTGCCACTAGCAACACTTCCCCGGCCTTGCTGGAATATCTCAACGAGGTCGTGATGATGCTCACCCACTGGCAGGTGGGAATCATGGATGACGATGGCCTCTTCCAGTTGTTCCACACCCACCAATTCAACATGGCAGGCGACCTAATGGTCGCTACTGGATCATCTCCGACTATGCCCACAGTTGGTGGAATGACCGGTTCGACGTCCGTCCGTTCGAGATGCCCATCCGTGTCCCAGTGGAAGAAGTCATCTGATTGTATAAATGCCACATGCAACAGCTTGTGAGTCCCTTCTCTTTATCCAACTCCTGATATTCGCCTATTATCCCACACTAACAATTCCATCAGCTGGCCGCATATTTGCTGCTGCCGGAGATGCGCAGGCATGATGTCGGTCCGGACCCCCTGTTGACCAATCTCCGGGTCATCAAAGACAATCTCGGAGATCTCGGTGCTCAGCTCAAGCAATGGCTCTCCAGGAAGATGGAAGATGCAAATGTTGCCTTGGAGGTCATGACCGCCCTCGAGGGTCCGGTAGACGACCTCCATGATGCCATCGCGGCATCACAGCAGTTGTTAGACGGGACCCAGGCGATGCAGGAGCTGGGTGAATATCAGTGAGCCTACGATCTCGGTAGAAGATCGTTGTACATAATTTCGGTAGCTGTGTGTGTGAATGCCCAGTTCTTGTCACCATTCATTGCAATGCAATGCTGTAAGACGTGGAGAACTGCCTCGGGAGCAGTACTTAGCACGACCATGCGCCATGCTTCTTTCATTACAGATCCACAAGATCTCCCTTGGCCTCGCCACCATGCGCTCGGCCCCTGAACATGCGTGCTATTACATCCCCTGATTTTACGTCCTTCGGCATCACTGGACCCATGAGGCTCAGTTGACATGTCAATAAAATTGAGCGACATCCATCACCCGCCATCTCGTTCGCCCTGCCTATCATGTCCCACATCATATCATCTTATGCCAGCCACATTGCCTTCCTCAGGAATGGCATGAACCTGATGCCTGTGATACCCGAAGACTGGGCCTTGCATGCCACGAACTGCGCCAGTGAATGGGTCGAGCAACAATTCCTTGCCCACATAGCTGGCGGATCCTTGGTGGACCCTCCACCCGGGATGGATGTCCCCACATTGCTATCGTGCGGTCAGCTTGCCTGGCTCATGGCCGAGGCGTATCGACACCTGAGTAAGTCCGTGTGTCTTCTCCGGCACCCCCTCGCTTATGGATCCCCCAAACTCAGTCAAATTGGACATTGATGTCATCCGGTACAACGAGGCGCTTGCAAAACGAGAATCTGGTATGAAAGATGCCCGAGAAGAGGAGTTGTTGGCAAGATTCCCTCCGCCCGAGAAGATGCTCTTGGACTGGCCTTCGGTAGTAATCGATTCCGGCCACAGTATCATTCTCTGGTACATCCCCAATGCCCTGAGTCCCTGGGTGCAGGTGAGTTCCTCACACAAAACTATCCTCCCAAAGTAGTTGACCGAGATCCCAATAGAACGACATGTACATGGCCACCCTCGCCATGGGTGATCTACTCAAGAAGAGCATCATCAACAAGGAATCGGCTAATTGGAGGACCTGGGGGTCCAACTTCTGACCTCCCGAGGATCCTGCCTTGACTCCCAGATGCATCAACATAACACCTTGCTGGTTCCAACAAGGATATGAGGTGAGTCCGGCTGTCCGATCGTCGACAGTTATTCACACGGGGCAGTGCTATGGCCCTCCTCCCAACAATCTGGATGATGGGTTCAAACCAGAGGTCTCTGCCTCCTTGAAGGGCGACAGGAGCCTGTCCATGATCATGGATATGCAGAGACCCGCCCTCCTTGCATCTGCCGCCTTGCATGTCATGCACCCTAAGCTTTACTGGGCTTCCGTGAGGACTCATATCAAACTCAGTCGTTGGTCGGAGGAGCAAGGCTTGCATGACATGCATCGTTTGCTTAAGCATTGGGCTTCCGTCTACACCGGTGCCGCCGTCATGTGCAACTGTCAGTCCCCCGACCACAGAGACCCGAAGTGTCTGCCCGAGGCATTCGACATATTGACTTGCATCGGGAGCTACCCACATGCTGTCATGCAGTTGACCAACCTCGGAATCGAGCTGGTATACAACCCGGGCGTCATGGTGAGCTATTCCGGCCACCTAGTCAGACATGGCATCCACATTGACGAGGGAGATCGGATGGTATGGGCTTGGTTCCTCCGGGATAGCGTGCACAACTATGCCAGAACCCCCTGTCCGGATTATGCCACATACAATCCGGTCGACCTCCATGCATACCAGTTGGCCAAGTACAACCAGGCTGATTTTGTTGTGTATGGAAACAGGTAGATCCCTTTCCCGGCCTCACCCCACCCCACCCCCATTCTTTATAATATTAAGATGTCTTGTCTTTTCACATCACTCCTTACATACCAACAGTCGTCCTCAATACATACCAGGTGCCCAAGTACAACCAGGCCGATTTTCCTATGTATGGCAACCTGTAGATCCCCTTCCTGGCTTCATACTACCCCACCCCATTCTTCACAATATTAAGATATCTGGTCCTTTCACATCACTCCTTACATACCAACACCAACACCTACCAGAAATATGTCAATTGAATGCATTACTGCACCTTTAATACAATCATTCTTGTGAAGACACTTGACAGGGCCTTACTTCATTTCAACCTGGACAATGGAGGACCGACCGTAAGTATTCCACACCACCCTGGTCCCAGTCAGCCTACTTTATACCGCTGTGTGGGCCCGGTTGTCAAATTCCGGCCTTTAATTCTACATCCCCACCCTGGGCCCAGTCATCACATTCTATACCACGATATGGCCCGGTCATCACTGGCACATGCCCAACCCAGGCCTAATCATCAAGATGCACCCGACCATATTGCCCCGACCGTCAATTCGACGCCACTACCCTAGGCCCAGGTGTTGAATTCTATACTATTATACGAGCCCAACCGTCCCTTCTACATTACTGCCCTAGGCCCGGTTGCCGAATGCTCTCTTCAGATCCACATCACCACCCTGGGCCCGGTCATCAAATTTTATAACAACATATGGGCCCGATTCTACATCACCACCTGGGGCCCAGTCATCATATTTTATACAGCTGTATGGGCCCGGCTGTCCATCCTACATCACCCCCTGGGCCCGGTCGGCATATTTTATTCCATTGTATGGGCCCGGCTGTCCATCCTACACAACCACCTGGGGCCCAGTCATCGTATTTTATACCACTGTATGGGCCTGGCTATCCATCCTACATAACCACCCTGGGCCCGATTGTCAAATGCTCCACTGACATATGGGCCCGATCATCAATTCTACATCACCACCCTGGGCCCGGCCGTCATATTCTATACCACCATATGGGCCCGGTCATCGATTATCCTACATCACCCCCTGGGCCCAGTCGGCATATTTTATTCCATTGTATGGGCCCGGCTGTCCATCCTACACAACCACCCAGGGCCCGGTTGTCGTATTTTATACCATTGTATGGGCCCGGCTATCCATCATACATAACCACCCTGGGCCCGATTGTCAAATGCTCCACCAACATATGGGCCCAATCATCAATTCTACATCACCACCCTGGGCCCAGCCATCATATTCTATACCACCATATGGGCCCGGCCGTCGATTCTATATCACCACACGAGGCCTGGTCGTCAAATTCTGTACTGACATATGGGCCTGACCATCAATTCTACATCATCCCCTGGGCCCGGTCGTCATATTTTACACCATTGTATGGGCCCGACTGTTCATCCTACATCACCACCCTGGGCCCAGCCATCACATTCTATACCACCATATGGGCCCGACCGTTGATTCTATATCACCACATGAAGCCTGGTCGTCAAATTCTGCACCGACATATGGGCCGGACCGTCAATTCTATATCACCCCCGGGCCCGGTCGTCGTATTTTACACCATTGTATGGACCCGACTGTCCATCCTACATAACCTGGTTACCCTGGGCCCGATCATGAAATGCTCCACTGACATATGGGCCCAACCATCAATTCTATATTACCACACAAAGCCCAGTGGTCAAATTCTGCACCAACATATGGGCCTGGCTGTCATATTCTATACCACCATATGGGCCCGACCGTCGATTCTACATCACCACCCTGGGCTGGTCGTCAATATCTAATCCCACTGTATGGGCCTTCTTAGTTGTTACCCATGGGCCGAGCCATAAATATCGAGACCACTAAATACCACGGGCCCACCTGTCCCTATCGGCCCCATCTTGCACCTGGGCCCACCTCGTATGGCCGTGTCACTCGGAAGAATCTCAACTTCAGGTGGCTGTGTAACACAGGCCAAAGTTACTGAAGGGGCTCTCTTGTCACGATACTGCCTGATGACGGATTGCATCTCCGATTCGTGTGAGTGAGCATCCATCTGGAGGTGAGTGAGACATGATCATGTATGATGCGAAATGATGCCTTACCTGCACGTGGTGCTTTCGAAACAAAAGGTCATGGTAGCTATAGCATAGCTCATGCACATCATCACGCAGCCCAGATGAATGATCTGTTTCCTTGAGAACAACTTTATTTGGCTAAATATACGTACATTAGCTGAGATATGAACAGAGGTATAGGAAGTCTGACATGCTCATCTTCCTCTTCCTCTCTCATCCTACAGAGAGCCACCAACAGTTTATATAGTGCCATTGTGAAGTCCTCACCGAGCGAGGTAGGCTCGAGCGGCCGAGTGTGGATCATGGTAGAGGCAGGCTGGGGTGTGGGTGGATATGTGTGCACAGGGTGAAGCTCCAGGAGCGAGCAAGACTCAACAGCTGAATCAGTTGGATCCTCATCAGGATGAGGGGGAAAAAAGCCATCAGGCGGGACATCTTGTCTTGCGAGACTGGTTCAGCATTTGTGGAATTTATCTTTAAAGAACACTCACCTCAATGAGGTGATCATCTAGCCGAATAGAAATGGGCACGGTCTATAGAACAAGTGTACTCTAATATCCAATATCATGGAGCTTTAAGTGTGAAACAACACATGACCTTGTTAACATTAGAGGTACAACAAAGTTTGAACTCATTCCATTCATGTCAAATAATTACTTCTGTTCCATCAGACCAAACTACTTCTGCTCCAGACTACTTCAGACTACTTATAACTATTTCTTCTTTGCGTGTTTCTGTCACTCCTTAGTGGAAATGTTTTTCAATTGCATCTGAATAAAATCTCCCACTGGCCAACACCCCATATAGTCATGTAATTCGGGAAAGTGAGCGACAGCCTCAATGGGAAGTTAGAGGGAAATAAGTGTAAAAACTGCAGACATACCTCGCTCTCAACAGAGGTCAACACATTAGGTGTTTGGTTTGTCTTGCTCTTGCTAGTGTCGCAATATTTATTGATCGATCGGTGGCAATGCTCCTAACATCGGTATGAATATGAGATTGAATCGTAGCAAAAGGATCTTACCCTGAACTTCTTGAACCGATCAGCATCCCAGTTAAGTGCCTTTTCCAAGTTGTATCCTCCACGACCTGGGCGCCCTGCTTCACCCTCTGGTTTGGGAATTTTGGAGTCATTGGACTCCGTTGACAAGATGGAAGACCACATTGACATCTGTTCTGGCTCACCATTCTGGGAAACCTCGTCTGCTAAAAATGATACTGACTTGGTGACTTTGGGAGTGGAACCGCAAACAGGGATGGGTGTGGTTGCACGAAATGACGTGGTTGTGAAAACACGCGATGGAGTATGAATGTGTCCCCGCAGCGTATGGGTAGAGAATGCCATCTCTTCTTGTGGAGAGATCAAGATAAATGATGCCGTCGGATAGAGCATCTCTGTGTGATACGTTAATGATGGAAGTTGCTGTGGAGGACCATCCACCCGATAGAATGCATTGACAGGTGCAGAGGTATGAGGCATGACAGGACTAATCTTACGAGTTAGACGATGCTTTATCCCCAAAGTTTGTAAGGACCCTGATCGGGGACATGTGCCCGCTAGGGAGTCACCACGGAGATGTCATCACAGATTACCTGTTGTTGTCGCCAAGTGTTTTTGTTATTATGTATACCATGTCATCCAACTATGGTATATACATTGTATTAAAGACCTCAAAGATATTAGAAAATTGACTTACATCATGACCACCAATGTTTTTCCTATCCACCAAAAATTGCAAGGAATACCGCCTTGAAGTGCGCCTCGTTGGACACAAGAACACGATCAATTGCTTGACTGTCTCAAGCAATGGCAGTCTGTTGGCAAGTGGTGGTAAGTTGAATATGCGACAGTCCCATAGATTGACTTACTAGGAAGTAGGCTCGGACGAGATGAGGATTTGGGACCTCAGACGGCGACTTCAGCTCCTGTCTCCATGTCAAAATGTAGGCCTTCGCAATCCAGCCAATCCCGTGACATGTGCATCCTGGATCACCTGCCAAGAGGTGACACAAGAGACATTGTGTTATGGCATAGGACTGGGATTCATTGGTATTTGGCAACAGCAGGGTGAAGGCATGGAGGACTTTGACACCAAAGTGTCAAGAAGAATTGGCACAGGTAAAGAGATCATGTGCCTTACCTATGATCATGCTGGGGACGACACTTGTATTGCTACTGGGACATGGGACAAACATGTTCAAGTTTGGTCATTTGACTTCAAAGGACCATTAATTCCAATCTTCAGCATTGAGCTCTCTACCACGATTCCATGCACAATACACTTCAATCGCACTGCAAGTTGAAACTTATTAGTCTTCAGAATGTATGACGGAGAGGTGTACATCAATACAGCAATCCTCACGATAATTCTAACATACTTTGTAGACATGCTCTTCGGGGCACAGATGGAGTTATTATTGCCACGAACAATGCTGGACCCATGATGTGAGCAATTTCATCAGGAAAAGATTGGCGTTCCTTACCATTTAACCAAAGCAGGCACGCTTCCATGGACATCGCCCAAACACTGTTCCTCATTGACAATGTGATGAATGGATTTAGCTTGCACCGATTGGACGATGCAGTGTGCATCCGAACCTACAATACTAACCCAGTCAAAACATTTCCGAAACAAGTAGTGTTTGGCAAAAAGACTGACATGGTGGTCGGTGGCAGCGACGCAGGTGTTATATACATTTTCAACAAGAACGAAGGAACCCTCAAGCAAGTGTTGAGGCATGCCAACAAGGCGAGAGTACAGACTGTTACAGTGTGGTATTTTTATTGAGTTAGAGTAGGCATCTGACAGACTGTAAGACCTATGATGGGACTTACCACAGTATAATTGTTGGGGCAACATCTCAGAACGATGCAGAGCCGGTCATCTCCATCTGGAGCCGCCAACAGGACAATCTTGAGACGCCACGTCCACTCAGGAGGGCACTCAAAAACTTTGTGTGGGGAATTGTACAGTTGGCTATCGCAATAGCTCTGCTCACATATGTTAGCCATGTCGTAAGTCATAAGTTATCATTCGTCCGCAGTGTGACGACTTACCCTAATTGCAGTGTGTTATAATGAACACATCGATTTCATTAGAGTCACTGGGGAATATCTGGCAAAACTTGGCTCGACCGCATGACCCAACGAATCATGACATCCGTGTCTGGGTAGAGCAGTATATTGAGCACCGAGGGGAGATGGTAGTAATCTCGAATGAAAATAAGATACGTACTGGGTGAGGAAAGACTGGAGCTGACAATGACATGGGGCATGATGGGGAGTTGCAGGCCGTGATTATTCTCGGTATCTAGTACAGTGTCACTGTGATGAATCGATTCAATACACCAAATCAAGCTATGCATGCAGGCATGAATTACCATCTGTATCATGATTGCGATGAGCAGGCGAGCGCCGACTCTATGTTCTGAGCGCGCAAAAAGCTATAATTAGAACGCCCAATGTCCGAACGTTCAAGAGTCTAAGTCAATACTATAGGAAACAGACTACAAATCAATCATACTATGAAACAGACTACTAGCTTAGCTATATGAAAAGTAGAGCTATAGTAGCTAATGAATGCCTCCCTTAAAATGAAAATCTGAAAGAAGTCGACAGTGTGAACAAACACCATTATATAGAGAACAACTATAATCCAAACTCTGCTGGAGATTTACCGAAGCGCCCATGTGACCACGCTCCTACCCAGCAGACGTTTCGAGGGTGGGGGTCCCATCCTACTACTGAGACTAGATAAAATTGTAGTTGTTATTTATTCCCACAGCCAAAATTCAAACTCCCCACTTCTCCCTCCACCCTCTCTACGACCGCTGGCATAAAACATTAGTAAACAGTGCAGCCACAGGTCTATGGCCCAACGATAAGCACAGAAAAGGAAAGCATCTCCGATCAGACAAAGTACAGATACTATGAGCGACTCGCAACTCTGGGGTATTGTACAGGCACTCAAATATCATAACATCACTACTCTCGACTTCATTTGTTTGATCGTGAACCACTCTACATTCTCAGAGCATGCCTGCATCAAGAGCCTTACCCACTAGCCAGCTTTGGTTTGTGATACATTGCTCCAACACCCAGCCTGTGAACCTCTCATTCGTCAGTGGGCACATTCAATGACTGCAAAACAATATGCACGGTCAATCAACCAAATGGCACGGCAAGAAACTGGGTGGAAATTCAGTGCCCTGAATGCCTCATCCGACCAGCTGGAGGATTTCAAGCTCGAAGATATGGCGAGAGACATGCAAAGTCTTGCACCAGAGTTGTGGGGGATGCTGGGTGATGTTCTGTCTGCTAGCGGACAGACAACAGAGGTCATATGTGATGATGCAGATGATGAAGAATACTGGAGGGAGGATGATAGTAATGTTGAAGTGCAAAATGAAGGAACCACGCACTCACACGAGAACATTAAGGCCAAGTGTCATGGAGCAATTGTCAAAATTGTATGTGTGTTCATATGTTCAAAACTGTAACTCAACTCCACACATTATAAAAAAGTTGTCCTCATAAGTATTATGCTGCAAAGCTCGAATCAAAAATGCAATGCACTGCAAAGTATATACGGGATTTTCTTGCATTCATGCAACACACCGCAATGAGTCATTCACGCGCTCGCACAAATGGGCATCTCAACATCCCCCGCTACAATTCTCAATGCAATCTGATCATTGTCGCATGAGAGCATCACACACATACAGGTGATGGGCCAGACGTTGCTTGTTGGATACGTATATGACAACTTCAATGTTGATTTCAAGACATCAGCGCCCTTCAATACCTGATTTAGCAAGGTTGTTTACATTCTGAGTTCTGAGAAGGTTTAACGGAGTGACAATGATCTGTATGTCCTGTGGTCTGAATAGCAAAGGCATCCAGAAAGTTAGTGTCTTGCCAGAACCAGTCGCAGCAATCGAAATGACATCCTTGTCACCTCTCAAGATTATGTGTACAACTTCGATTTGCCAGAGGCAAGGCCGACAACCAAAAGCCTCTTGTGTTTTGTTGCAGATTTGAATATATGTTGGCAGTTCAGCCGATAGCATTTTTGGACAGTTTCCAAAATTGAAGTGCAACGCATAAACCTGACCAGGCCATGGACCTGTGGCTGCACTGTTTACTAATGTTTTATGCCAGCAGTCGTAGAGAGGGTGGAGGGAGAAGTGGGGAGTTTGAATTTTGGCTGTGGGAATAAATAACAACTACAATTTTATCTAGTCTCAGTAGTAGGATGGGACCCCCACCCTCAAAACGTCCGCTGGGTAGGAGCGTGCCATGTGACCAGTCTCGAAAGTTCTGAGATGTTCTGTTTACATAATCATTGCCCACAACTGGGTTTCAATTGTGTAAGTCATTCTCTATATCATGGCCGTCTTCTCAAATTTATCTTTTTTCCGACTGTCTTGTACAAGAAGTGTAAATACATAGAATAGCACTGATTAGTAGCAGGTGATCATCGCCTATTCTTTATATTTGTGCGCACGCGCCCAGTATGCTCCCCTAAGTTTGGCGGGTGGGAGGACTCAGGTTTTCAACTCTGCGCAAAAACTGAAGTCCACCACAATACCTCACAATGGGTAATGTTGCACTAGTCCACAATTAGTCATTCACTACAAATACTGATCTTGTGCCTTGATAGTTTTCTTTCCACTACCACTACCTTGACACATAATTGAACTTTGTGATACTATACTTAGCGTAGACTTAACGTATTGAATACAGTATGTGACATTTTAAGTTCATTTGTAATGCTGCTGAAACCAATTGTGTAGAACTACAGAAAGAATGTCCAAACACACTGCATTGAATGATGATGCACCTATGGCAAAGTGCATCAGAACAGATGAAGGTGAGTAGCGATACGATATTGTCGATCTTGTTATTCATGCACGCGTATCACAGGGAGTCAGAGTCAGACCTCAGCCCTGGCAGATGAGGGTGCATGGAGAATTTTAGAAGAGTTCCTTACCACCGACATGACGTACTCTCAGATGGAGGAAGCCTTTCTATCATACCTCGGTAATCAATATTCTGAAGACGACTGGAAGGAATCACGAGATGTGCTGTTCTCTGGTGACAGTGATGACAATGTCGCCTTGGAAAACCTTCGCATTGTAAAGGCGAGGCACATACCTCCAGCCTTCTGTACACCAAAAGATCATTCTGTTACGGGCAGCCGATTGTCCCGGGCGCGCATTCGACCTTCGCGTAGACCAGCCAAAGTAAGTGAAATGTTCTGATACCTTGATATATATCTACTAAACAGCAACCAAAGTTAAAAAATCCCTACCTCAATCTGGATGCAGAAGAAGATGACGAGGAGGAGCAGGAAAAGGAGGAGCAGGAGCAGGAGCAGGAGCAGGAGCAGGAGCAGGAGCAGGAAGCAGATGACGACGGCCCATCTGAGTCGTGGAAGGTTTCACACTTGCCAGGATCATCATTGGCCGATAAGTTCACCGCGGTCATCAATGACCTCTCGAATAGATTCGAGGATACACAGCAAAACTCATCGTGAGATCACCAGTGTCTTCCCTCCTCGATATCTGGCTTGATCGCTTTGACTTCAGCTTGATTGCAAGACAGGAGGATGTATCTCCTTCATGTCAACCGTAAGTCTTTCTAACGATGTAATGTATCATTTTTCACCGATAAATTACAGGAAATGTCACAGACTATATTGCTCAACACCTTCGGAAGAAGAACTTTCGCGTTACAGTGTCAGCTTGGCTAGCAGGCCAGCTTTACGTGGTGGCAGACAGCCCAAAAACCATCACCAAATCCCTTTCTTTATCACTGTACCTCGCCGTGAAAAAATATGTCTATATACCGGATGAAGAACATGAAGTGGTCAAGCGGTCTTGCGCAACATTTCCCAACCCAGTGTGGGTGATGTTTAAGCATGACAAGTACAAGGGCGACATAGCCCAAGTCTTTGATTCTGACTTACTGAATGATTTTGTCGCGGTCTTAGTTCCCCTATCCCATGCCTCGGGGATCTTGGTCACTACTCGACCAATCCCGCCTTCCGAACGGGGACGCAGTCTCCAACATTAATCGCGGCGAGGAAGTTGTAGGATGCAAGTACAAAGGAGAAAGATACTATATGGGCCTCCTACTTAAAAGTGTTCATTGTGATCGCCTAGAACGTGTCGTCTGCCCTCATGCTGATGACATTCAACTCCACCTACAATCTGGGTGGGGCCAGTCCTTTCTCAAGTCAACTGTAGTTGCATTTGCCATGCAGTTCTTGTGCGTAGGCGATTGGGCCAGGATTCTCAAAGGAGACCTTAGTTCAGAAATTGGTCTGGTCATTTCAACTGACCATCCTGCTGGTGTTGTCACCTTGGAGCTGACCTTGAGTGGTCGCCGAAAGGAAATAGACATCCAATTAGAGGACATAGAGCGTGTGTTTCGGGTCGGCAACACAGTTTGAGTGGTAGGAGGTCCATACTTAGGTGTGGAAGGGCACATCATTCAAATGGTAGATGATATATTTCATCTTTGTCAGGACATCTCGAAGGAAGAGGTAAATGTCTCTTGTCAATTTTTTTTAAAAAAAAAACATCTAATACAAGGCATAGTTGGAAGTTTCCAAGTACTACCTAGATCGTCGCCCTCTGAGTCACACGCTGCAAGCACGGCTGCCAACTCAGCAACCTTTTAACCCTCTCCCTAATATTAAATCCATCCAAATTGGGGATTCCATAGATGTGCTTGTGGGGGAGCACATGGGGAAATCTGGCATCGTGCGCTGGCTCTCCAAGGGAGGGAATTATCTGTGGTTCCAGGATGGATTGTTGAATATCCCAGTTCCTGTTGCAGTTGTTCAGCGGATCCCCAACCTCCAGACACTGCAGTATACGCAAGACAGGGGTTATGATGTCAAGCCTGGAGATGTTGTGAGAGTCGCCCATGGGCCAGAGTATCCGATGAAAGGGGTCGTGCGAAGCGTTGACTTTCCAAATGCTTGCTTGACCCTACTCTCTGAGATTGACCGCTCGCTAGTTAGTATTAATTCTCCTCGACTTATGCATGTCTGACTTCTGACAGGTTGACATTCCCATCGGATTCGTGATCAAAGTACACAATGCCAACTTGGATGTGTTCAAAAAGGACATCGGCCAAGAAGTTTTCATTATTGGGGGTGACCGCAAGGGCTACCGAGCCATGCTGTACAGTTTCACCTCCGAGAATTGTACCGTTGCCATGCATGGGCAGCAGCGCACCACAAATCAACTCAAGGACGTTGCTACCAGGTAAGCGACACACACATGTTTGCAATGAATTAATTTCATAGGTATTTAGGTATGGAATGAGGTTGAATGGTACCATGCTCGAAGGAACCAACATGTTATCTTTCTGTGAGATGCGGAAAAGATCGTACTTAGCCCCGCAACCTCAAAGCGCCACCCCCCCCCTGAAAAGGTTCCCTCGAGCTTGTCAGCTTCCATCGTAGATCCTAGCATGTCGTCATCCACCTGGACCGCCTGGACCACCTGGACCACCAGCCCCAAGGGTCCTTCATCTAGCCTCAATCCCTCACAGATGGCCAAACCTGACCCCTGGACTGTCAACATGCTGGATAACATTGATGCTAGCATGGAGGAACCCAAAGAGAGTGAGTCCTTCAATAGAACTGTCCACAACATTCCCACTTATTTGATCCTAGGCCCGTTAGCTTGGTTGATGAACAAGGAGTTTTCTTCCAAATTCACTACTTATCACGCAATGTTGAAAGTCTCGCCCTCATTCATGGGAGGCAGGCTACACAACCAATTTGTGTTGATGGCTTGTGCTGACCCCTTCCTCGGTCTGAATGGACCTGCCCCCGAGGGTTATGTTGCAGTGTTCTGCTCATCGAATGGTGCAGCCACTGCGATTCAGCACTATCATATACCTGCCACAGATCTGAGCACAGCTCCCCCACACAAAAAAAACCAACAGTGTATTGTTCTGCACAGAAGTCATCGCGGTTCTATCTCCAATGTAGTTAAGTGTCACCTCAAGAAGAACACTACAGACATTGCAATTACTCCGTTGACATTTATCAATTTGCGTTTTGATCAGATTTGTCTTGTAGAGCAGTCACACATGACTATGTAATACCAAATACCATTACCACCTTACCATAATCATTACCTTAATAATATGCTGAATGCCCAACAAATCCCTTATGAACGCGCAATGAATGCCCACTGGATGCACATGTCATTTTCCCATGCATCAAACTTCACATTTCCCCTATCACATTTCATCGCAAGAAAAATTTTGGGTTTAACTGTCATGGGAAATGCCTATCATTATATAATATTTTACACAACATTTTTTTGCACTCAAAAGTTTGTATTTACCTTTTATTACAAAATTTCAAATGTATATTGATATTTTCCTGGTTGAAAACCTCAAATATTGAGACAGGGCATAAAATGTTTGTCAAAATGTGTCACTTTGTATTGTCCTTTCCCCGTTCATCCAAATTTCTCGTTGTTCTCAAGTCGAAATTCGAAGTGAAAATCCTTGATTTATCAACCTTATTTTGATTAAAATCTTGCTTGTGTCAAAACTCCGAAACCACCGGTGTGTGAGATAGGCGGCAGGTTGAAATTTTTTGGGCGGGACAAACAAGGCCCAACTATCGCGCCATAACAAGTTTTACCAGTCGCTCTGTGGGGGAGTTGTCCTCCAAAATTTCGGCTATAGTATGATGACTAATGTTTTGTTTTATTTGTATCGTGGCTGCTCTAGGATGAGAGGACTTCTCCCCACAGGCGGATGGGTTGGAGTCTGACCAAAGTGGATGCCATCCCATTTCTGAGAAAGATGGCTCGCAACTTGTCTCTTTAATTCAGATCACGACTCCTCAGACATCAACGCACGGCTCTTTCGTTCTGGACCCAAGCATCGTCATCAGATAAACCAATTTTCCGATAGCTTCGGGTGGGCTTGGAGACGTGTACAAATGTACCTTGCTAAACAG